CCCAAACTGGCCAAATTCTAACCAGTTCCAAGATTAAAAAGTCAGCCTAGGACTTCCCTCTAGAATCATCCAAAATGAAGCCTCTTACAATTTACTCATTAAAATGTTCCAGGCCCAAAGCAAAGATTTTTGCAGTTTTATTGTCTATGCTTCTATACACAGTGATGTTATTTCTTCTACAACTAAAATTTCTAAAACCGAAAATCAACAGTTTTCATGCTTGTGAGGTGAAGGATGCAAAAGGAAACATCATTTCTCTGAAAAAGTTTAAAGGCAAAATTCATCAAAAACAGAATCAAGGTGGAATGTTTGGAAGTATCTGGTCAACACTGAGCGTCAAGATGTGAAGTTCTGGAGGCCAGAGGAGCCCATTGAGGTATCAGGCCTTACATAGCAGATCTGGTTAGACAAATTATCTTTAAAAAGAAAGAAGATCTATGAAAATTATATTGAGCCATTCTAATGTAATAGTCTGAACAGAAATGTTTCCATGAAGGTTTGTTCTCGTAAGCACTCTGACAATTAAATGTGGCACAGAAGGATGATCGTTTTATGTCATCCTGTTATTCAGTGGTAATGAATGTTAAATAGCAGTGTTACCAAAGCAGAAATAATGACTAGCCAGAGAACCAAAATAAAGTATGTTAATCTGGCCATACTAAAAAGTTCAGAACAGAGCGTCACCAGTATGCTTCAATATCCCACTGTTGGAACCAGCAGTTAGCATAATAGTTATGTTGCTGGACTCCCATGTAGTCGACCGTGGTTCAAGTCCCTAACCCAGCAGCTTAGACTCACGCTGAGCACATGTGCGTGCATGCCTAAGAATCTCCTTTCCAAGAGGAGAATGGAGGAGAAAGGATTGCAGTTGTAGCATGGCCATCCTCCCTGGGGGGGGTGATTTCTTGCTTTCTATCTCTCTTTCTCTCTCTGTCTTTCTGGCAAGCACACACACCCTATAGCAAGAATCTCTCCAAATAAAGAAAAAAATATATATATATATATCCCACTGTTCATCTTGACATTTTCTAGGAATATATCACTGTCTGGATTTGAGAACATCGTGTGTAACTGAAGTTTTTAGAGTAACTAACTATAAATGGCTATGTTGATGTAATAAAAACAAATGCTGAAATTGTAAAATATGTGTACATAGATTCAAATAATTCGATATTTGTTCTGTGGGGGAAAAAAGTCAGATTAAATTGCAGGATACAAAATCAACATCCAGAAATCTACAGCATTTCTATATATGAACAGCAGGAAGACTGAGGTAGAACCGAAAAAAAGTAATTCCACTTACCATAGCCACAAAAAGTATAGTATAAATCTAACCAAAATCAAACCAAAGAAGTTAAAGACTTCCACAAAGAAAGCTATGAGAAGCTCAAAAAAGAAATTGAAAATGACTCAAAAAGGTGGAAGGACATCCCATGTTCCTGGATTGGAAGAATTAATATAATCAAAATGGCAATTCTACCCAAATTAATGTACATATTTAATACAATCCCAATCAAAGTGCCAGAGACATTCTTCATAGATCTAGAAGAGACAATCATACAATTTGTCTAGAATCATAAAAGACCTCGTATTGCCAAAGCAATCTTGAACAAGAAGAGTGGAGTGGGTGGCATCTCACTCCCTATTCTAAAAATATACTGCAAACTGTAGTAATCAAACAGCATGAGACTGGCACAGAAATAGACAGGTGGACCAATAGAACGGAATAAAATCCCCAGAAATAAACTCCCAATCATACACCCAACTGATTTTTGACAAAGGGTACCAGTCAATCCAGTGGGAAAAGGAAAACCTCTTTAGCAAGTGGTGCTGGAAATACTGAGTATACATTTACAGAAAGATAAATCTGAACCCCTATCTCTCACCATTGAGAAAAAATCAACTCAAAGTGGATCAAAAATCGAAACCTAAGACCTCAAACTATAAAACCACTGCTGGAAAACACTGGGAGACATTGGGATAGGCAAAGACTTCTTAAATAAGACCCCAAAAGCACAGTGAATAATCCCAAAAAAAGACCAGTGGGAATACATCAGATCAAGAAGTTTCTGCATAGCAAAAGACACAGTAATTAGTGTGAATCGACAGCCCTCATAATGGGAAAATATTTTTGTAAACTATGCATCAGATAAGGGACTGGTAACCAGAATACACAAAGAACTCAAACAGTTGTCCCTAAAGAAGATGATCAACCCTGTTAGAAGTTGGGAGAATGAGTTGAAAAAACCCTCTAAGGAAGACATAATGAATAGCTAAAGGCATATGAAAAAGTGCTCAACATCCCTCATTGTAAGGAAGATGCAGATCAAAACCACAGTGAGATACCACCTAACCCCAGTCAAAATGACTAAGATTTAAAACAATAATAATAATAAGTTCTGGCAGGGATGTGGTGAAAGGGGAACTTTCCTACACTGCTGGTGGGAATGCAAATTGGTCCAGCCACTGTGGAGAACAATTTGGAGATTCTTAAAAGATCTACAAATAGAACTACCATGTGATTCAGCAATCCCACTCCTGTGTATCTACCCAAAGGACAGAAGATTTCTTAACTGGAAAAGCGCTTGCACGTCAATGTTTATTGCAGCATTATTCACAATTGCTAAGACATGGATTCAACCCAAATGCCCATGAACAGATGAATAGATTGAAAAAGTGTGGCACATATACTCCATGGAATACTACTTAGTCATAATAAAAATCAAGACCCTGGAATTTGACAAAAAGTGGATGAATATGGAAAATTTACTGCTTAGTGAAGCAAAGCAGGCTATGAAGGAGAGACATTGTATGTTTTCACTTAATATATACTGAATATCCCGACTCTATGGCCGAAACTGAATGACTAAAGGATATAGAGACAAAGTAAATGGTTGTGAACACCAAATACAGTGTGGGAAGAGGGTGCGTGAAGGAGTAGAGTATGAGGAAGGACATTAGGGAGAAAAATGGAAATGGGTTATTAGCTATTGAAGATAACTTTATAATATTGTTAACTAGACTGGCGAGAAATGTACACTTGCTAGAATATTCACTTTGAAAGCTAAGTAACGTGATTAAAAGTACAGAAGAAATTGAAATTAAAAAATTAAAGAAAAAAAAAGTCAGCCTGTCTCTAGTTGTGGTCAGGGCCTATCCAAAACAAAGAGAAAGCCATATGGCATGAATTATATCTATGTACTCCTGTGCAATTCTATAGCAACCCTGTAATTCTGTGCACTAAGTTTATTTCTGTACCAACCCTAATGCATACTTCACCCCATTAGAATGTATGTAACCCCATAACACAGGCCACCCAATCAGAATGTATGTAACCATGTATGGGAAACAAAGCAATTGAAATGAACATAAGGGAGTGCCCTATAGCTCACAGGGCTCAGTGGGTTTTTTTTTTTTTTTTTGGAGAGGTTTTCGCTATAGGGCGCATGCGCTCGCCAGTCAGACAGAGAAAGACATAGAGACAGAAAGCGAGAAATCATCCCCCCCCCAGGGGGGATGGTCACGCTGCAATCCCTTCTCGTCCATTCTCCTCTCCAGATCTTGGGCACACACGCACATGCGCCCGGTGTGAGTTTTAAGCCACTGGGTCCAGGACGCGAACCGCAGTCGACTACGTGGGAGTCCAGCAACATAGCCATTACGCTAACTGCTGGTTCCTAGGGCTCAGTTTTTCAGAGTGAACCACTGAGTCCCTGTAGGCATGAATAAATGCTATTTTCCTACTAAGAGCCTAGATGCTGTGTTTCTGGCTAAAAATCCTGCTACACGGACATTACTGAAGCCCACCAAGGCCAGCTTAGATAGACTACCTCCAAAGACATGTCAGATATATTTATCTCATGTAATTTTCCGGTTAAGATATGGAGACATTCTTTTAGCAGGAAAAGCTTCCTATTATATGCACCATGCTACAGTAAGTAATAGGAGCTCTGTCCACCATGTATCCTGGTGTGTCAGCCAAAGGAAATAAATGGAACATATCAAAGTGGTTTTTTTTTGGGGGGGGTATGCATAATTAAAGCTGGAAGACTGGAAACTATAGGGGCATCCTCTCAAACTTTACCTACTGAAACTAAAATAGGAAAGTTATGGCCATCAGGTGGCACTGTAGTTAAGAGACTGGATTACCAAATCGTCAACTATGGTTTGAATCCCAGACCCAGAGGCTGGAAAATCATGCTGGGTGCATGTGCATGCATGCCCAAAGTCCCAGGAGGAAAATAGAAGAGAAGGGATTGGAACATGGCCATTTCCCCCATCTTGGGGGGATGAGTTCTTACTTTCCCTTTTTCTCTCTGTCTCTTTCCAGCAAGGAAGAAAAAATATAAAAAAAAAGCAGAAGGGAAATATACTTGCTGTATAAGAATCTTATTACACATATTTATATATGTTCTACTAAGTTGTAATAAGTTTACATAGTGTTTATTTGAAACATACTTTTGAAAAACTCATGAATATACACAGAATGAACAAATATTGAAGACACATATGTTGATAACACAGAAAATGTTACAGACTTTTCTCTATACTATGCAAGATGATTCCTTGTAGGAATGGATCTGAGCGGTCCCTAGTTTTGCTTTCGTGGGATTTTTTTTTCTTATTTTTGTTGTTTTGTTTTGTTTTGTTTTGCTATAGGTGTATGTGGTCACCAGAAAGAGAGAGAGAGAGAAAATAAAAATTGTACCCCAGAGGGGATGGCCACACTGCAATCCATTCTTAGTCTCTTCCTGGGATTTTAGGCACACATGTACACGTCCTGGCAGGATCTTTCAAGCCACCAGGTTTGGGACTAGAAACACAGGGTCAGTCATTTGGGATCCAGCCTCATTAACCTCGATTCTATCTGCTGGCCCAGGGTCCCCACTTTCCAATGTACACCTCAGCCACCATGGTACCAAGAGACAGGTCTATCTTGGTTTATTATTTCTCAGAATCAGGACACATGAATGGCCTGAAGGGAAAGTAATTGCAGTAGCCTAGTAAATCATGAGAATCAGATTATCATTCACCAAATCAGATATCAAAACTGGCATTAAATATAATAGATTGAAAATGGCAGAGAGCAGAACAAAGGCAATAACAGATTGCATAGCTGTTATGTGTGCCTCAGTGCTGGCATCTCTGGGTCCTTGGGGCATCGTGCTGCGTTATACTGAGGTGTTAGCACAGTAAGATTAGCAGGAACAAGGTTGTCAGTGACACAGTAGAGTATGAAAGTGAACATAGTATTGATGAGTAAAAGAATAGAAAACTGCAAAATTGCCCAAACTGGCACTGCAAGTCATATTTCTTTCATATCCATTGATCAAGACATTAACATAAATTATCATAAGTGAATATTAAAAAACAAGGGGACCAGGACCAGTGGGTGGCATAATGGCTGCATTGCTGGACTCCCATGTAGTCGACTGTGGTTTGAGTCCCAGACCCAGTGGCTTAAAATCATGCCAGGCACGTGTGCATACGTACCCAAGATCCCAAGAGGAGAAGGGAGGAGAAGGGATTGCTGTGTGGCCATCCTCCCTGGGGGGGTGATTTCTCACTTTCTGTCTCTCTGTCTCTCTCTATCTTTCTGGCAAGCGTATGTGCCCTATAG